TAATTGGATTTTAAGCCCTCTCGAATGGGGTCTTAATAATAAAGCAAAATCGTGTCACGTTTATCAAGAATCCAAGATGATGAAATAGGTTACAAACTATCCAAATCATGTGAAGGTAAAATCAAGTCACGAAACCTAAAGCCAACCATGCCCAAAACACAAAATACTATTGAGGTCACAAAATATCCAAAACGTTGTATAGAACATTACTCAGGTCAAAAAATGCTATTTAGGTCACAAATTACCCAAAATAGGTCACAAATTGCCCAAATCAGGTCATAAAACCCGATTCATATAGGTCACAAAATGCTATTTCGATCACAAATTACCAGAAATAGGTCACAAATTGCCCAAATCAGGTCATAAAACCCAATTCATATCATAATCAACATACCCATAAAAAATGGCGTCCAGAGAGCGAATTTCACATTTTTCATCGATTTCCCGCCTTATGTCGACTTCTTTTCTTTCTTGGGTGAAGATGATTCTTCAAGACCGTTCTTCCTTTTTCAAATCTCTTTCTATCTTCTATTTTCATCAACACTAAGAACACCATTTTAAACACTTCGTGGGGGTGAAAAAAGTTTCTTCTATGAAGATTCTACAAAGATACTTGGTAGTGATTATTGTGGTGATGATTATGCAAAATGGAGTTGGAGTTTGAAGGAAGGCAGTGGAAGATTTAGATTTCTAACATGTAGGGGTTTTGGATTTCAGAGAGGAATGGAGTGAAGATAAGACTTAAGACACAGGGAAAAATTTACAACTCATGTTTTATCTATCTCAAAATCAAAAATCAGTCCCAAGGTTTAGAATTGTAAAAATCAGGTTTTTCATAAATTAATTAATTATATTTCACAATTATTATATTAAATCAAATATTAAATTGTAATATAATATAATTAACCCATCCCACTACCACCTCTGCTCCGACGATTGCTCTGGTGATCGGCGACCACTCCAGCGACTTTTTTGAGGTCACAGATCAAAAATTTTGCAGGTCACGGATTATTTCGAGGTCACAGATAAAAATTTTTGTAGGTCACAGATCTAAAATTTTATTGGTCACATATTATTTCGAGGTCATAGATTATTTTTTTAGTTACAAATTATCAATTTTAAGCTAGGTCACAGATACCAAAAAATCACAATCACTAGGTCACAGACACCAAAAAGAACCAAAAGCATGAAAGAATATTTAAAAAAGCAGGCAGTCAAGTCACAGAACAGTGGAACTCAAAAACTAAATGTGCTAGATGGAGCTTATAATCACATATATAGAAATCCTAGGTAGATTCGGCCTGAGATAAAAATACTCTTCCTGGTTGACGCTGAGCTAGTGGCCCGTGACATCCCAAAAGCTTAGCATTTATACCATCAGACATGATACGATTCTTAGATTTCCACTTCAGGTAATCAGTGCGGCTGTGTTTAGTGAACCCCCATTTCTTGCTAACAATAATCCTTTGACGGCCATGTAATTTGAACTCACACTTAGTATCATTTGAAAGTATTGCAATTTTATATTTTCAACTATAATTTTGCTCTCTTATAGTTCTCTATATACTCCCGGATCCGAAACCCTTATATTTTGGCCCATGTTTTTATCACGTCCCACGCCTAAATACTTATTAGAAATAGACTCACTTGATCGTCGGAGTGTTTGCAACCATCTCCCCCCCTCCACCCATTAGAGAAGGCTATGTGCTCTAATGGTTTGTCCAAGTGTGTAGAAGAGACTACGTGAACGTGGGTGGAGCCGGGATCTATTGGCCACATCACCCCTACAAAAATCAAATGATGTATACAAATACTGGAAAGACCTATCAACGAAATTGCATCTTTAACTTATAAATGGGACTCTGTCCTGCACTTCTACATGGTGAATTCTTTGAGTTCAATATACAGATTACAAAAGTGTTCATCCTCCTCACTTCTCCACAATAAATTGGACAATCACTTTTATATGCATTTATGATACACATTGTCATTCACATAGGAAAGTGTATAGGCTATACTATCTAGTCATCCATGAAACGAAGCAAAAAAGGGGAAAGTGTCATGAGCTTGTAGGCCAATTCTTTTTAATATCGA